GATGATTGTATGGCTGGGGGTCATATCCTGGAAGAATGTAGATCGGTGTGCTCTCAATCATGGTTAAGGAAATGTCATGTCTTGGCAAAGTTTTAAATTATATAATCAATGACGTATTGTGAATCTATAATGATGAGAAAAATTGTAATAAAAAGGGGACCCAGAGAAAGCCGCTCTAGCTCTCTCTCTCTGAAGATTGCTCAAACGGAACGACTCCTGTCTCATCATTTCGCCGACGCCACTCCTCCTTCAGGACTCCCTGGACCCCGCTGGGGCTGGCCCCAAGCACCATAGCTCCCCTGTCTTCAACATTTCCAGTTTCTCATCACTTGGCAATCCATTACTGTCAGTTCTTCTGGTACCTACACAATCACTGGAGTATTTTTGCAGCTCTCTCTGATGACCTAAGGCTGCAGTGATAGGCTCAAAGCTTTCCTTCTTCAAGCCCTGGATTCCTTTATTCCTTCCCTTTGGTCTCAGTGCATTTGTACTGTGAGTTTTTGTCTCTCTCACTGTCAAAGCTGTGCTGTGATGCTGACCTTCAGATGAGGCTTCATCCCCTGGCATCAGAAAAGAGTTTGATACAGAGCGGCCTGCAGCAAGTGGCTTCACGGTATCTCTAGAGCCCTGGAACTGCCGGAGTGAGTGGGCAAACTCAGCTTTCTCAAGAACTTTTTGGTCCTGCTTCAGTTTCTGTTCCAAAGTGGGTACAGATTTACTTTTTAAAACCCTTTGGATAACATTGGTGCTGACATCAAAACCTTCAGCCAACCTGGGAACTGACCAGGACTCAGCAAATTCCTTATGTAAATACCGAATCTGCTCCATGGCTTCCCATGTCAGAGTTCTGGGCGGGGCACCTGGCGCCTCCATTTGCCTCCAAATTTTCTGGAATGGAATGGCTTTTTTTCTGTCGTTTCAGGGTGCTGGGGGAGAGAACCAATGGCAGAAGCCATGCGTGGGAGCAAGATGGGTGTTTGAAAAGTCTTGGGCTAAATCACCAAGAGCCCAGCCCTCTTTGGTGTCAGTAAAGGCCACGGGGCCATGTTAACGCCGCTCTGTCCACCGACCCCAAAATCTAACACCTACAACAATAACCGCCCGTCAGCATGCTGAACTATCTGAAAGTGTAACGAAATATACGCCACTAGCGAAGGAACCTGTGGTCGCAAGGGAGCTGAACATCTGTCCCTACGCCGCTGACAACAGGTAAGGTAACAACAGGGTAACCGCCGGGGAGAAGTAAACCAGCCTCCAGCAGCCCACTACCCTACAGCACCGAGATAGGGTCTTAGTATGTTGCCCAGGCTGGCCCCAGACTCCTGGGCTTAACTGATCTTCCTTCTGCCTTCTGAAGTTCCCCATCCTAATCACAAGGTCTCACCTCTTCTCAGTTTTCCCAAATAACCACTGCTGGACTCAGCCACCATGGGTATTTGGATATTTTCAACTCCCCATTCCACTCTGCACACAGGTGCTCTCCACTGCATTGGCATGTAGTGGTGGTGTTCTTTAGCTAATAGGCTTGGCTGATAGTTATGCCAGCCAGGTAAATGTCAGCTGGGACCAACTCAGGGTTGCACTTTGGTAAGATAGCTTTATTTAATTATACTGTACTATATGTGCCTTGTCCCTAAGTCAACAGTATTAACATCTATGAGGTAGCAAATAAAAGAGGTCACTTCCCCAAGTAACATTCTGTCCAGGTTGCTATTTTGCTTCACTCAGCTGGACTGACAGTTGGAGCCAAACAGTGAGGTCCCTGCCCTGTAGCCACTGCAGTGGTGGTTGAAGGCGAGCCAAGGGAGCGGTTACTGTGGCTTGCCTTGCACCCTGGCTCAGCCGTGTGTGGGTGAATGTTTCTCAACTCTCCCTCAGAGGGGAACTTCGCCCCTGAAGCTGTCAGCTCAGCATGAACACTCTGCTTTCTGTGTTGATCCTAAGTGGGGGTTGGGGGTGTGGGGCTGGGATGTGACTCAGTGGTAGAGCACTTGCCTTGCATGCATAAGGCCCTGGATTCCATCCATAGCACCCAAAAGGAAAAAAAAATCTGTATTCACCCCAAGAAACAGGCCCTGAAATAATTGTTCTAGAAGTTTTCCTTCATGTATATTTTCACAGATGTATAAAAGCATTGGTCCATGGATATCTATAGCAGCTTTGTTGGTGAAGATTGAGGGCTGGGGTTGTGGCACAGTGATAGAGCGCTTGCCTAGCATGTGTGAGGCACTGGGTTCAATGCTTTGCACCATATTAAAAAAAAAAAAAAAGAGAATAAGTTACTAAAAAAAAAAAAAAAAAAGAAGGGAAGATTGAAAAAGGCCTCAAAGATCACCAGCAAGGAGCCAGTGACATGAGGTGGAGGCTCCGTGGCTGTCCAAACAAAGGCAATCTGGGCTGGCTGTGTGGCTCGAAGCTAGCATACTTGCTGAGACACACCAGTTACTGGGTTTGATTCTCAGCACTCCCAAGAGAAGGTGACAAAAAAAAAAAAAAAAAGCAATTCGCCCTGAGAGCAAATCCTGTTTATCCAGAAACATGTCTGCACGTGTAGAAAAGAATGTGCAACATCACTGCTTGCAGCACTGTTTGAGGGTTGCAAAATGATTGGAAATAATTCAGATAACCCTCAGTACATAAGAAAAACAATGGTATACAAAGGGGACCTTTGGGGCAGATGGAAATGCTGTGTGTGGGTCTGTGCCTTTTTCAAAACTTATCAAACCAGGGATAGGGGTGTAGCTCAGCATGCTTGAGGTCCTAGGTTCCATCCACAAAAGCAAAGTTCAGATCAGTGAGAAGGAGGAAAAAAGCCAATTACCCTTTGTTTTGATTTGCACCAAGAAATTCAGGGCAGGGGGGAAAGACATGGCATTTATAAAAAGGCATTTTCTCAGGAGAGGGGAAGGAATGGGGTGAGCTGGGATGGGGAGCGGGTGAGGGATTACACTTTTCTATGAACTTCAGATTGTGAATGGTGTGAACGTGTCACTGGATCCATATACAAACCAACAAAAATGAATGTCCTCAGACAAACCATGGAAGAACCGTGGTTAAATAGTGGAAGGACCCCAGGCAGAATTGTGTGTGTCACTTTGGGGTAGAAAAGGAGGATGGTGGCTGGAGGTGTGCCTCAGTGGCAAAACACAAGCTTAGCATGCCCAAGGCCCTAGTTGAACCCCAGCACTTCCAAAAATAAGAAAAAAAACAAAAGAAGGATTTTTTATTATGAAAAAAATCAACTTATTTCTAGAAAAAGAATATAATAATGGCAGCTGCCGCTGGGAAGAGGGAAGGCACAGGTTGAGGGTTTTTGGTACTGGGTATTGCTCTTGGGGGTGCTATTCCACTGAGCTAGATCTCCAGCTCTATTTTCGAGGGGGTACCAGGGGTTGAACTCAGAGGCACTCAACCACTGAGCCACATCTCCAGCCCTATTTTGTATTTTATTTAGAGAGAGGGTCTCACTGAGTTGTTTAGTGCCTCGCTGTTGCTAAGGCTGGCTTTGAACTTGCAATCCTCTGGCCTCAGCCTCCCAAGTCCCTGGGATTACAGATGTGCATCACCATACCTGGCTAGGAGGAGGGCATGGTTTGGAGAGAGGGCTTGCAGATTTGGCCTAGAAGACTGGCTTTATTCTGTATCTTTCTTCCTGCTTGTTTTGTTTTTGTTGTTTCTTTTGTTTTGTTTTGAGACCCGGTCTCACTATTTTACCCTAGGTTGACCTTGAACTCCTGGACTCAAGTGATCCTCTTGCATCAGCTTCCCAAGTAGCTGGGACTACAGATACACCACGGCACCTGGCTCTTGATTTTTACTTAAAATCATATGCATGTATGAGGACACTTAGTTATGGATAGGGTTAGGAGGTGGTGGAAGCAGGGGGCAGAGGCTCAGGGAAGCCCGGGCGCTCTAACCCTAAAGAGACAACACAGTCCAGGCACACATGAAGCCTTGACAGTTATGCTTTTATTAAATGGCAGTAACAGAAACATGATTGCTTCAGGAACAAGTTTTTCCCTCTCTTCCTCCCGGCTCCCCAAAACTCAGCCTAGGTGAGTCTGGCCGTGGGGAGTGACATGCCGGCCGGAACACATGTCCATGCTTCTTTCACATGTGTGGGCATCTGTGCCACCACGGCCATGTGGTGCTGTGGCTCTCTTTCCTGCTCTGCCAGTGCACCAGGGGCCTGAGAGACAACCTACCTGTGGCTGGGGTCTCCACAGGGCCACGCACCACCCTTGCAGAAGCCCCACTGCCTCCGGCCTCCAAGTGGGCAGGCAGGGTCCTCCTGGGTGTTCAGGGTTTGGCTCGCTTGGGCAGGCTGGTCTTGAAGAGGGATTTTCCCGAGGCTTCGATGTATGTGATGGTCATCTCCTTAGGGCTTATCTCCACATAGGCAAAGCCACCCAATGAGTCCTCGGACCCATAGTGGAAGCGCAGGTAGCCGTTGGGGACTTTGCGCTGGTGCCGCACCGAAGGGTCCATGAAGTTGCCTGCCCCACTCAGCACGTAGCCCACTCCGTTCTCATCTTGAAGGTACTGAGGATAGAGGAGGAGGCAAGGTCAGTGGAGTCCCCAGCCCTGACTTGGGGTGAACCAGGGGTTCCACCCACAGCTGCCTTGGGTACAGGGCCAAATTTGTCCCTGACCCCATGATTTTTTTTTTTTTTTTTTTTTTAGCAAAATGCACAACCCCCCTGACCTCAGTTTCCCCTACAGGGGTGTATTAATGCCACCTCACAGGTCCAGCACTAGTAAGCAACTATTGTCATGACTTTTATGAAACTTTAGGGTATTTTCCTGGATAGAGAGAAAATTCAAGTTCAAACCCTTCAGAAGGCCCCAGGAGGCCCCCAAACAGCAGGAGGACACCAGAGCTAAGAACCTGGCGCCCCTCCCCACGCACAGAGTCCTCACCTGCAGGTTGTGGTCATGGCCGCACAGGTAGGCAGTGACCCCATATTTGACCAGCAGTGGCTGCAGGTGCTTGACCAGGCAGCGGGTGGGTCCATGCTCAGCAATCGACCACACAGGATAGTGGCCGGCCACCAGCACGTAGTCCTCTTTGGCTGCCGCCAGCTGCTTCTTGAGCCAGGACATCTGGGCTCGGGCCAGCGTCAGGTCTTTGGGCCTCTCGGGCTGCTGGCTGAGGAAATCATTCGAGTTGCCACACAGCGTCACAGTGTCCAGCATGAAGATGGCCACAGACGTGTTGGTCCGTGGGATCTTGAAGTGCAGGCGGTAGAAGGGGCTGGGGAAGTTCCTGTGGAGGAAATCGAGGTCAGGTGTGAGCATTTTGGGCAGAGAAGCACCAGAACTGTCTCGGGTCCCTTTGTCGCTGTGTGTGAGAGGCAGAGCAGGCTCACCAGCGCTTGGAGACCTTGGAGTAGGCAATCTGTGCCGAGACGTTGCCCAGGTGGTCATGGTTCCCCGCCAGCACATACCAGGGCACATTACGCAGGGAGCGGTCAGAGAACACATCCTCAAAGGTCTCCTGCGGCCGACAGAAAGGACACCCCCACCAACAAGGGTCAACAGCTACCCCAATGCTGACACAATCAGGGCCCAGGGCCCAGGGAGTTGGTGCGTGTTCTAGGCACTGGTCAGCTTCCCTTTGCCCTCCCCAGAAGGTCACCAGATTGGGTGGCTTCTTCCCACTGCCATCCCCCTACTTTGCCAATCACACACCTGGAACCTCTTGTCATTGACATCATGCACGCCATTGAAGTAGAAGTTGTCCCCCAGGGACAAGATCAAGTCTGCACCCATGGTCTGCACAGTTCTGGCAATCTCCTTAGCGTTGGCCATCTCCCGGGCTGTGTGGAACGGGGCATTGGGGACTCCTCCCCAGTCACCCACAGCCACAAAGCGCAGGGTGGGGGTGGGGGCAGTACAGTCAGCCAGAGGGAGCAGCAGCGAGGCTTGCAGGACCAGCAGCACCATCCATGTGTCCATCTGGAGGGGAGAGAACATGTCTGGGGCCCTGGCTGAGGCTGGGGAGCAAACCCTTGAGACCCCAGGCTGCCCTGCTCTGAGAGAAGAGGAGACCCCTCCCTACAGGGCTGGCGCGACAGGAAACCCTTGGGTGTTGAGTTCCCAGGACACTGTGGCATGAACTGGCTGGAAGGACTCCAGGGGCCAGGAAGAGTGGCTCTGCAGGGCCCTTCCACCCTCCCTCATTCTGTTGTGCCCAGCACTCACCCTGGGGGAGACACAAGTCAGGCTGTGGGGGCTACGAGAGGCAGGTGGGCTCCAGGGCAGAAGTGGAGGTCACGGAGCCTTTATTCCCTGGGGTGGAAGCGGATCACTAGAGAGGATGATGCAGTTTCTCCGAGGACTGTCCCAGAAGCCCTCCCCTTGGGTCATGTGAGCCCTGGACTTCCCCAGAACTGGACATGGGATTCTGGCAGGGGGTCTGGACTCCCGTGGGAAGCAGCGCTGCTTGCACAGCCTCCTGGGCTGCCTGCAGGGGCTCGTTTGTGTTGTGGGCAGAGGTGTCCTGTGTTTCCGAGTGTGTCTGTGCATCTGTATGTGTGCACGCGCCTGTATGCATGAGGCTGTGTGGGTTGTACACTACGTGTCTGAGAACATCATGCACATCCGTGTTCTCTGAAGACACGCTTGTCTGACCATGTCTGGGTGGGACTGTTTCCTGTGTGTGGCTGATCAGGCCTGCCTGGGTCTCTGTTCTCTGCAGGGGAGGCCTGGGCTGTGGAGACATGTCTGCTGAGCCAGCAAGTCCTGTGTTCAGAGTTCTCCTGCAGAGCACTGTGTAGAAGTTTGCGTGGACCAGAATTTGCAAGTCCATCTTACAGGCCGAGCTGTGCTGTGTGTGTGTCTCCGTGATGTGTTGTTTGACAACATCTGAGCGTGGGACTCTCCAAGGTCCCAGTGCTCTCCCACTTCTCCATCCCCGACGAAAGCGGCAGTGGTGGCCTCCCTTTTCCAGGAAGTCGTCCCACACCCTTCCCTAGTCTCCCACCCCCCTTTCCAGCAGGAGGAACCCAGGCTGGAGGCCTCTGGAGACACATCATGTGACTGCAGCCTTCTGACCCTCATACCCTGAGCAGCTGCCGGCAGGCGGTTCGTGGAAGCCCAGCCTCAGAGGGAGGGGAACAGGGCTGGGTAGTGCAGGGGTGTGGCCTGCTCCTCACCTCCTGGCCTCCCTCCTCTGCTTTGAACACCGCCCTGACGCGTTCCCTGAACACTCACCACCAGTCCCTCCAATCCCTGCGAGCGAGCGCGGATGGAGAAACCCTCATTCAATGTCAAGGACACAGGCACAGAGAGGGTCGACGGTCACCCAGCTAGGGCTGGCTGTTGGTCCCCTCTCCCTACCCCCCAACCTCTCAGCCGAGACAAACAGGAAGGAAGTGAGTAAGAGGGCAGGCTGAGACCCCTCCCCCGGGGGCGCAGTGCCGCGAGCCCTGGCCCGGGATCTCACCTGCGGTCGTGGGTTCAGGGTCGAGCCCGAGCGCTGCCACCCGAGCTGAGCTGCAGATCCACAGGGTGCTCGCTCTGGGGCTGCCCGGGTTTTAAGAAGGTGGCAGCCGGCCGGCCCTGCCCGCGGGCCCCAGGCCAGCCCCAGGTGAGCCCAGGCAGAGAGGGCGGGTGCCTCCGCCTCCCCACCCCGAACCCGGAGCCGCCACCAAGAGCCGCCACGCCTCCCAGAGGCCGGCTTGGCGTCTGTGAAATGGACCCAGGACTCCAGAAGCTGCTCAAACCCATGCCTTGAGGTTGTGGCTTGGCCGAGAGGTCAGCTCCAGGACCCGATCGCCTCCTCCTCCTCCCGCACCTCCAGCCCCGACGCCAACTGGGAGTTGCCACCTGCCCAACGCACTCGGGGCGTCCACTGGCCCTCAGCCCCGGGTGGTAGCGCTGGAGGAGCCTCAACTCTGGTCTGAGCCAAGATCTAGGAAGGAGGCCTGACACCTTCAGCCGCGGGCTCCTGGACTTTAAAATGTGTGTGAAAGGCTGGGGGTGTCGCTCGAGGTAGAGCGCTGGCCTAGCATGCAGGAGGCCCTGGATTCCATCCCCAGCACCAAACCAACAGAAGAGAGGGGAGAAGAGTCAATTTTTTCCTTAGAATTCCAAAAAGCATGAGTAACCCCAGAGCCCTAGAAAGGAGCTTAACTCCTTTCCCATCCGCCACCCTCCACCCAGGGGATAATGTATGGAAAAGTGAAAAATAGCGAGTTTGCCATGGCAGACGCCTGGCAGATGCCACCTTAAGGAAATGATCCAGATGAAACGTCATAGTTATCTCTCATTGGTATCATGTGTCTTTCTGCTAATGTCTGAGGACACCTCCTGTCTGTGGTTTCTTTCAGAAACTCATAACCACAAGCTGTTGTTGAGAAAAATAAATAACAGACAAGCCCACATCGAAGAACAGTCAACAGAATACCTGACCAGTGCTCTACAAACACGTCCAGAGTTGTTGTCGACTGGAGGGGACCAAGGAGGCATGAGGACTGGATGAAGTGTGGGGTCCTGGACGGATTCTGTGCAAGAAAGAGGACGTGTGGAAAACGGATGAAATCTGGAGAAAGCCTTGAGTTTTGTAAATAGCCACACAGCCAAGAAATGCGTTTCTCACTGGGCCTGGGGGTCATCCCAGTGGCTCAGGAAGCTGAGGCAGGAGGATGGGCAGCCTCAGTTCAAAAAGTTCAAAGCCAGCCTCAGCAACTTAGCAGGCGCTCAGTGAGACCCCATCTCTAAATAAAATACAAAATAGGGCTGAGGATGTGGCTCAGCGGTCGAGTGCTCCTGAGTTCAATCTCTGGTACCCTTCCCTCCCCCAAAATGCATTTGTCTTCTTTTATTTTTTTGGTAAGAAATGAGGTCTCGCCATGTCGCTCAGGCTGGCCTTCAACTTCCAATTCAAATGATCCCTGTTCCTCACCAGAGCCGCCTGCGAAGCTGGAATTACAGATGGGCACCACTGTACCCTGGCTGAACGTCTATTACTTTTTCTATGCCTGCATTTATCTTCAGAAAAATAGGATACTCTTGGTACCGTTTGATAACTGTTTAAAAAATTTAATTAATTAATTAATTAGTTTCTTTAGTTTAATGATCTTCATTCGCTTTACTTTCAGATCTAGAATTGGGCGATGCTTCAGTCCATTAAGTAGAGAAAGTGTTTCCTTATGACTTTTTCCACTTAAGTTAGTGAAGCCAGAATTAGACAGGCAGTCAGTGTAGATGGGTAAATCAAGTCAAGTCCAATCAAGGAGGCCAATTTTGAGTGAGTCTGGGGTGTTGGAGACTGTTCCCTGGGGGATTAAAATGTTAATTCCTTCAGAGCCCTTTCTCCACCCTTAGCAAGAGCCTGCCCCTGCTCCAACCTGCTTCCAAGGTAACCTGTCGCAGGAATTTGCTGTCCCTACAGGAAGCCATAAGGTTGTTAATGTGCCCTGGGCTACTCACCCTGCTCTTCCCCCTTCAGCCCACCTGTTTCCCACTTTTGGTCCTCCCAGGGAGCATTCCTGGGCCTTGTCACGTATGCAGGAAGAAGGATGGAAGGATAAGGGGGAAAGGGCAGGAGAACAAAGGAAGCCAAGGACACAGAAAAGGGGCAGAACGCCTGGCTTCTGGGGATACCAGGATACCAGCTACGGCCCCCTTCTCCCTCGCGGGCGAAGTCTATGTTACCCCCTTTTAAATAAATCCTGCTTTATATGTGCTTGTCTCGGCGTGCCTCTCTAATGTTCAAACTTCAACATGTGGGGAAGCAGGAGTCCTCACCGATAACCGGCAGTATCATGTTTAAAGTTAAGTAGACCTAGGGGGCTGGGAGTGTGGCTCAATTGTAGAACATATTTAGTACCTGCAAAGCCCTAGTTTCAATCCCTGGCATCCTCCCCACCCTTAAATAAGTTAATTTAACGTATTTAAATAAATACGTTAAATTAACCATAATTTCTTCAGGGGAGGCATGTGATAAAACCTGTGGATCCTTGTATATTTCTCTGGTCCCCTCCAGTGTTCAGAAGAGGGTCTTCTCTCTGGATTCATCAGGAGAGACCCCCTTCTGCAGATTTTCTGTGGGGTTGGATTAGGATTTGGTTCAACGTCTCCTTCCCCCTCCACCCATGTCCTTTTATTTAATTTTGTTATTATTATTTTTGTGTGTGTGGTGCTGGGGATTAAACCCAGGCCTTGTGCAGGTAAGGCAAGCACTCTACCAACTGAGCAGTATCCCCAGCCCCCACCCATGTCCTTTTTCCCAGGACCCATGTCAACCCCAGGTGACATCAATCCCAAGCTGGAGTTCCTCCTTGGGCTACACCAGCAGGTCCTCCTCCTAACTCTCCTTCCCTCCCTCCCCAACCCTTCCCTAATTTCCAGCCCCCTCCCTTTGTTCTGCTTCTCTGACCTCCACACCCTCCCAGGAACATCCCCAGCCCTCGGACCTCAAGGCCTTCACTCTTGTGGCTCTGGCTGACTGTAGGATTCTTCCTGACTCAGATACCTAGTGGCTTCCTGGCCCACTGTATTTCCCTCCCTTTAACTTATCTTTTGGGGTGTGCTGGGGATGGCATCCAGGGCCTCCTGCCTGCTAGGCAAAGGCTCTGCCTGGGACCTACACCCCCAGCCTGTCCCCAGCCCACAAGCTTATCATCATTCTATAGTTTTCTCTGAAGCAATTATCACTGCGGACAGACTGGTTTATCTTGTTTTCCATCTCTCTCCCCACAGTGTGAACTCAAAGGAACAAGAATGTTCTCTGTTTTTCTGGCATCTGCAATTGGAAGCCGGCACAGGTGGCCGCTCAGGAATCATTGGGGAAATGACAAGGGATGCCCTTTCAGGACACACTACTCTGTCCATCTTCCATCCAGCCTGGATAGGCAGGCTCTCCCCACCCTCCTGGATTGGATTCCATTGACTCATTTGTAAGTGGTGCCTTTTCTCTGTGTGTGTGTGGTTGCTTTTGTTTTTATTTTGGTGCTGGAGCTTGAACTTATGACCTCACCCATGCTAAGCTCCACCACCTAGCTGCATTCCCAGCCCCTAAGTGTCATCATTAGTAATCAGCTGGGACATAACTCTCCCATGATTCCTGGTTAGTTGGAGAGAGAGAGAGAGAGAGAGATCCATATCTGTATTTATACCCCTGTATCTTGGTACAAAAATTCAAGTACTCTAGTCAGTACACACTAAGAAGTGCTGGTACAATAGAAACCAAAGTAAAATGTGGTATTTGGGGCTGTATCTTTGAGGTAGATTGCATGTTCAGCATGGGTAAGTCCCTGAATTCAAGGCTTTGTTCCAATGAATCAATAAATTGAATGAGTGAATAAAGGTGGGTAAGCTTGGGCACTCCTCAGTGGACTTTCTGTTTCAGATTCTAGGTCCTCTGCTGTTATTTAGCTGTGTAACTGTGGGCCAGAAATTTTACCTCTCTGGGCCATACTTCATCTCTAACGTGGGAGATGTTAAAGTTGCTTAGTCAGAGTGTGTGGATCAAGTGATTAGCCACAGTGGAAGGATACACAACACTACCTTGCACATGGCCAGCAACACTCTAAGCCAGCTGTCACTGTTCATTATTATTTCTGCTATTATGTGTGTGAGTATGAGGTCAAGTGGTGGTAATTCGGATAAACTGAATATGTTTAAGAGACAGAAATGCAGGCTTGGGGTGGGGCTCAGTGGTAGAGCACTTGTCTAGAATGTGTAAAACCTTTGGTTTGACACCCAGCACTGCAAAAATAATTACTTTTTAAAATATTTTTTTTTTTAGTTGTAGATGGACTCAATACCTTTAATTAATTAATTAATTAATTAATTTTATGTGGTGCTGAGGATCAAACCCAGTGCCTCAAACTTGCTAGGCAAGCACTCTACCACTGAGCCACAACCCAGCCCTAAATATTTTTTTTTAAAGAGAGAATGAGAGAGGAGAGAGAGAGAGAGAGAGAATTTTTAATATTTATTTTTTAGTTCTCGGCTGACACAACATCTTTGTTGGTATGTGGTGCTGAGGATCGAACTGGGCCGCACGCATGCCAGGCGAGCGCGCTACCGCTTGAGCCACATCCCCAGCCCCTAAATATTTTTTTAATTAAGAAAAAGGCCGAAATGATAGGTTGGGGACCAACTCATTCCAGTCTTTCTTGAACTGTCTTGGTTTTATCACAGAAAGTTCACATTCTTGGAAACCCTTAAGTCCCAGATAAATTGGAACAGTTGGTTGCCCCAAGATAGTGAAACACAGGGGTGGGGCTGGGGTTGTGACTCAGTGGTAGAGCGCTTGCCTAGCACAAGTGAGGCACTGAGTTCTATTCCTAGCACCACATTTAAAAAAATTAAATGAACAAAATAAAGGTATTTAAAAAAAAAAAAAAAAGCTAGTGAGATACAACCATTGGTAAGAACTGTAGCAGGATCCCAGCATTTTATGATGAATAATTTCAAACATCCAGCAAAGTTGAAAGAATTACACAGTGAAACCCCTTCATATTCATCCCTGGATAATGCAATTAATATCTGAATATGTTTTGCTTTGGTATCACTCACCTTCACAGCTTGGTGTGTTTGGAATCCACCCCTGAGGAGGAGGTGCAGGGAGAGGAAATGCTTTGGGGGAAGTGAACCAAACCCTGTGTGGATGCACTAGGCATGAGGGCGCCCTCCTGTTCAGGTGGGGAGACAGGCTTTCTTGTGGGAGGCTCAGGACAGAGACCTGTGTTAGCCGGTTTTCCGTTACCCTCATGGATACCTAAAACAATCAACTTACAGAGAGGAAAGGTTTATTTTGGTTCACAGTTCTGGAGGTGCTAGTCCATGACAGGTTGGCCCTGTCGCTTTGGATCTGTGGAGAAGCAGCACATCATGGCAGGAGCATGTGGTGGATCAAAAAAGCCACAGGAAGAGAATGGGACCCCCAGTCCTCTGTGACAGCACTAATGAAGGACCCTCAACCTCCTACTAGGGCCCACCTCTTAAAGTTTCTACCACCTCCAAGTAGTGCCAGGCTCGGGCCCAGACTTTTAACACTGGGCCTTTGGAGGACATTCCAAACCCTAAGTATAGCCAGTCCCTAGCATTTTATTTTGCTTATTTATATTTTATTTGCTTATTTATAATTGCTTATTTATATTTTTGCTTATTTATATTTTATATTGCTGATTTATATCTTATATTTTACTTATTTATATTTTGGCTCTAGGGATAGAATCGAGGGCTTCACACAAGATATAAAAGTGATCTATCCATGACCTACATCCCCGGTCCTTTTTGTAAACTTTAAGACAAGATCTTGCTAAGTTTCCCAGGCTGGCCTCAAACTTATAACCCTTCTGCCTTAGCTTCCCAAGTAGCTAGCTCCTGGCATTTTACTATGAAGGATTTTCAAACACAGCAAATTTGG